TCCACCGGCATATATGCGCAGAGCAGCACCCGCAGTGGTATGATTCAGTTGCCTGTTCCTTTACAGTGGTTGAGAATGTACTCAGTTCTCAAATTCATCTGTTTGGGCATTCGGAATAAGAAAAAAAAAAGTTTGGTCATTCGGAATAAGAAAGCTATGCGATATTCCAGTTATCGAACCCACATCTGGATGAATGAATGAGCGCATTGGTCATTGATGAATCAAAAGATCCGTTTATCATGAAAAATTATCATCTGAAGCTTTTTACTGAACATTATTGATGCGGCACTCAGATAAATGCTTATAAATATTGCAGCTGACCACATCGAGATCAATCGAACGTCATAAAATCATCACACTTTTTGTAGTACAATTTTTACTTGGAATTCCTTGGGTAAGCTTCAACACCAACATTTTGAATATTGTTCCCATCAAGACAATTCATTAGGTCGATCATTCATGATCAGATTTGATTTTGAAATGATTGTGCACATATTTGAATTAAAGGGTTCCACATTACCTGATGTGTCTATCGATGAGTCAAAATGATGCCATTGTGATAGCTGCTTGCCTCAGTTCTGATCCAGTAATATCTCATCCATTCGTGAATCAAAAGCACATTTCAGTTGATGCAGTATCTCACTTTATTTCAACCAAAGTTGACCATATTTCATTACTTGTTCACATTGGTGAACGGGAGTCGAGGCGTCATTCTGCTCGTGATAACCGCGTTTCGCACTTGGTATGTCGACAAATCAAAATGTTCAGTATATTGGTGCAAGAAGAGATCAATGGAAGCATCCGTGAATGATAATGGTCGCCGTGATGATCCATTAGATTCTGCAACGATACCTGATCGTGAGCCCGTCGAGGAAATCATTAAATTCAATGAAAAATGAGATGGATGTTAAGCAAATACGAGCATTTAGCCGTGTTTTTATTTATAGATGTGACATATTTTCCTTATTGACCTACTTTAATAAAATCATAAATCACAGTGAAGTTTTTATCAATCCCAACTTACCGAGTACATGAATTCGTTTAGTTTTTGCAGTAGTATACAATTTTCTGTTTGTGGAATTTTTCATTCAAACTATAGAATTAGCTGAGACAAGTCGACTTGATATGGAAGTCGACTGATCAGCATCGAACTATTTATTCGTGAGCATCGAATGATTGTCCTCCATTGTTCCAAAAATCTTAAACACAACAAACTTAATTTATATGGCTTTTGATTGACTGCTTACACAGTTCACGTTGTCAATGATTCGTGACGATGAGCGTTCTATGCTTATTCAAATATAATAACGATTCAAAGTGAATGAATGATAAATTGAATTTGATTGCGATGCATTCTGTTCTCATCAACTGATTGGCTCTACTTATTTGATTTCTTCATGAGCGATTTCTAGATCAATACGACTTTGGTCAACGAGTATCGTTGTTTGTTTAATTCAGAAGCTTAGACGATTCCAGTTACAAATCCCTTCACGCCAAGGGTGATCACTGAGGATTCTGACTCAGAATTCTGATAAAGGTGATTTCCTGAAACAATCAGAGTCGATTCTAAGTGACCATGAACCAATGAGAAAATTTGATGCCCCATTGAACGTTTTTTTTCTGTAATATTAGAGAAAAACAACTGATTCACTGCAAAGATGGTCATTTCGGAACAAAGAAACTAACTAAAGAATCTCTTTGACCAGCGACGACGTCTTCATGAATTGGGAACAAGCGAGATTTTCTTTAGTTTATCTCACGATGCAAGGCAAATGCAGAACTGTTTTGAACGAGTCAGAGAGGTCAAGAGTCCTCTGCTGCCGTAAAGAACTGTTTCTCAAAAACAACTTCACATAGTCGAAGTCTTCTGATCGTTTCCAATTGTAATATCTCCACGCAATTAGATTCACAAACGATCACGGGATACCGTTATCATTGAGGTTCTACTATTCCCCTTCCAAGAGCCGTTTTCCTTTCCAATTCACCTATCACTCATCTTGGGGAACTCATCTACCTGGCGCGGAATTTCTCTTACTTGAGAACCACTGAATATCTGAAACGGTTCTGGTCGTGTGGGAGCTCCTCTTCCGTCCGGAAAAACCTCAGCTCTGGCACACTATTAACTAACTTGAACACGCAAACGAGCGATTTTCTGCGCACTTGATATGGCGCTCAGTCAATCGACTCAAAACATGCAATTAGCTATTTCAATTACATTCCTGGATTAAAATTTCTTTTCCTTATTTTAATTTACGTTAGATGGGATGACTTTCTGGATTGTGTTGTTCACTTTGAGTGATTGATTTGCGAACTAAGTATTCATGAGACGTCAATTCAATTCGTTCTCATGTTTTCTAAACCCGTTATCTTATTTTCCTCAAGGCTCACAAATGATCCTTATCGATTCTTTGTATTTTTTTTTTGCTGTTGTCAGCTTATTGTTTCAACGATGTCCGATGTCATTCGTCAAAGAAGGACGGTCAGTATTCAACAGTCCTGGATTTTATTCAGTCGTATCTCATTATCTAATCTTACTGTTCGTTATTACTGCTGCTGATTTGATTGTGAAAATAAAAACGTATATGTGTTTGTAAAACTCGTTGAACAGGTTTTTCGAATGCTCTCCATTTTATTCCACTTCGCATTTTTTAAAAANTACGTGTAGGGGAGATGGCCACATGAGGTGACAGTGAGGTCACATTTAAGAAGTGGCATTCACACTCGTGCATGTGTAACCAGTTGTGATTTTGAGTCATGATGCTTGCTGTGCACGTGATCTATCGTTCAGCTGGTTGGCATTAGCTGGCAGTTGGGAGCAGCTGTCTCATGAAATCTCAGCTGTTCACTATTCGAATCGATAACGAAACCGGTTTCCTTGAATGCCGAAGAATATTCATTTGCATAATCAAGTTACTGGAAACACACTATCGGTCATCGATTTGAAATGAAAGAGGCCGTAAGCATTAAGTTTTCCATTTCAATCTCTCCATTTTTGGTTACAGGTTAACGAATATATCTGCCAATTTTTTGTTTTCATGTTCAGCAGTGCTGTGTAGAATTTCACTGTGCAAATAATTGCTCTGAAACAGCTGATTTTTTTGGTAGAAAACTGAGTTGAATGAATATTCCACATGTGATGCATTGTTAAAACTAGCGGAAGTGTGCAAATTTGTTGATCATTTGCAAGTGTTGATGTTTCACTGTGCAAAGAATCTGATTATGGGAATACGTTCGGAATGCATGTTGTGCCAATCACTGCGTTCCGTACAGATATTGATCAATTATTCAAAGTACAATAGCGCTCAATCATTCCTACAGCATTTATTGATGCCAACATATCTGTCGTTCTCATTCTGTTATTCATATATTAATTTATTGTGGTCCTACTATTTCCATAATATCACTGAGTGCCGATTTTTAGAATGCGATACATCTCTACCGTTTTCATCATCATTTGCTTGTTTGTCTGAATAAAGTAGGGGAATTATGTAAACGCTTAAAATACACATCTTGACAAATCGTTGTTTTTAGTGCAAAATAATGTTTTCAAGCTTTTTCATGTCCTTTCAGTTGAAGTTTGTTGCATCGATTTTTTACGCAATTTGTCACGCCGTTAGAACGGAAAAGCGCTCTAGGTGTGGTGCTGTCAATGTTCCCCCTCGTCTGTTATGGTTGATTCAAAGAACCACCAGTTTATTTTTTAGTTTTCAGGTCACACCGTATAGATAATTTGGCATAAACGTTTTTATGCTGATGAAACGAAGTTCTTGAGTGGCAACACCATTTTT